TTGTAGGGCTTAGCTCACCGCTTCATTGCTGTTTTTCCCTCACTTCCCCTTATCGGTGTCGAGCGTCCAATGCCTCTCTCTTGATTCATGTAGCTTTAGAGTAGGTTTGGATACGTTGTGGTGTAAATTCTTCAGCCTTACTTTTCTTCTTAAATATTGCCTTGGTTATTTTGTTATTGTTGTTAAGTGCCACTGAGTTGGTTCCAACTCATAGCGACCCTGTATAGAGTTTCCAAGGAGCGGCTGGTGGGTTTGAACCACCAAGCTTGTGCTTAGCAGTTCAGTGTTTCTCCTACAGCATCATACAAGGACGCCTTGGTTATTTTAGGGCATTAGTATTTCTATGTACATTTTAGAATTGGGCTTATCAACTTCTACCAAAATAATCATGTTGAGATTCTGAATGTGATTGAATTGTATCCATAGACTTCTTAACAATATTAAATCTTCTAATCTACCAACATGGTAGATCTCTTCACAAATCTCATTCTTCTATAATTTTTCTCTGTAATATTTTATAGTTTTCAAGAAAGTGGTTTTATATACCTTTAGTTATGTTTATTCCTAAATTTCTTGTTAAGTGCCATCGAGTAATTTCTGACTCATAGTGACCCTGTATAGGGTTTCTGAGGAACATCTGCTGAGTCTGAACAGCCAACCTTGTGGTTCAAACCGACCTTGTGGTCTAGTGATTATCCTACAGTGCTACACCAGGACACCTTTATTCCTAAGTAGCTGGGGTTTTGTGTTTTTTTTGTGTGTGTGTGTTATGTTAAGTGTAAATGGGTTAAAAAACTAATCTAGGTAGGGCAATAGGTTTGCACTTGGCTACTAATGTAAAGATTGATGGTTTGAACCCACCTAGTGGAAACACAGAAGTCCTGGCAATCTGTTTCCTTGAAAATTACAGCCAAGAAAATCTGTGTCTTATCAAGCTGTTCTACTCCAACCCATGGGATCAGGATGAGCTGTTCTACTCCAACCCATGGGATCAATGTGCTGTCACAGCAAAGGGTTGGTTGTGGGTTCGTAGCTAATTTATGTTGTTAAGTGCCATCAAGTCACTTCTTACTCATAGTGACCTGTATAGAGTTTCCAAGGAGCAGCTAGTGAGTTTGACCCACCAACCTTACTATTCAAAGTGACCTTGCAGTCCATTGCTTATCCTACAGGGCCACACCAGCACTCCAAGAAGTACTATATGTATAGATACTTCTGTTGTATGCAAGGATCCCAGGTGGCAAAGTGATTAAACCCTGAAAGCTTGGTGGTTTGAATTCACCAGCCCTCCATACAGACAAAGGTGCTTACACCCTACGGAGCAGTTCCATTCTGACTTGGATTTCACTCGATGGCAACAGATTTGTGTTTTTTTCTCATTTATTTTTAATATGTCTGTTAGGCATGGTGCTGTAGGATCAGTACTGGACTGCTAACCCCAAGATTTGTGGTTCAAACCCACCAGCCACTCCTCTGGAGAAAGATGAGGCTTTCTGCTCCAGTAAAGATTTACAGTCTCGGAAAGCATAGATAGGGTCTCTGTGAGTCCGAATCGATTCAATGGCAGTGGGATTGTTTTTATTTCTTTGTTTGATGGAAGGAAAAAAATGGATGAGAGGTGGTGTTCCACAGGTTGGGATGGTGTCTGTCCCCCTGGAATGGTTCCCCCCTTTATCCACTAAGTTCTTCTGCTTCAGCACAGTGCAGGGTACACCCTGTAGATGTGGTGGAAGAAATGGGGGCTCCCTGCCCTGGGCCCAGCCCTGTGTGTCCCCAGGCTTGGCACTCAGGTCTGTCCACGTGTTTGTCTGCAGAGCCGCCCTCCATGCGTCTGAAGGCCCGGCCCAGCAGCAGCCCTGGCTTCTCTATGCTCACCTGCAGTGCCTTCTCCTTCTACCCCCCGGAGCTACAACTGCGATTTCTTCGGAATGGACTGGCATCCGGCTCTGGAGAGATCAACTTCAGTCCCAATGGCGACGGCTCCTTCCATGCTTGCTCCTCACTGCAAGTCAAAAGTGGCGATGAGCACAATTATTGCTGTGTTGTGCAGCACGCAGGGCTGCCAAAGCCCCTCAAAGTGCAGCTCGGTGAGGGCTGGCTGGCGAACCTCTGAATTCCCAGTGGTCCACTGCTGTGATAGGTTGTCCTGAATCTGACTGACTTGTGCCCAGGGCCCACTGCTAGGGAGTCAATTCTGACTCCCAGTGACCCTAGAAGACAGCAGAACCACCCCATAGGGTTTCCAAGACTCTAAATCTCCTATGGAGCGGCTGGTGGGTTTGAACTGCTAATCTTTTGGTTAGCAGCTGCATGCTTAACCACTGCACCTCCAGGACTCCTTGCCTTATACTCAGCTACTGCCTACTCTTGCAAAGCATGATATAACCTTCTATCCTGTGCTGCGTGTCCTCCCTAAGGCTGCTGATGCTGGTAGGCCCCATTGAATCTGACCACCTATTGACCAGTGTGATCAGTCCTCTCTGAGTCTGCTGCTGGTCCTTCCTGAGGCCAGCCACCTTCCATCTTGCTGCTGCTGTTCTTCACCAAGTCTGGCCTATCATTGTCCGCTTCTGCCGGTCCTTGCCAAGACTGACCATCTACTACCTTGCTACCATCAGTCTTCCTGAATCTGATCTTCAGCTGTTCTCTGCAGGCCTGTCCTCCAAGGTGGAACGCCACAGGTCCCTTGGCTAATCTGCCCAGCCTTCCTGCCTATGGCTGGTTCTCCCATCCATCCTGGGGATTCCCTGACCAATTCAGGACACCCCTGATGGCTTTCCACCCCTAGATTGTTGGTGTGGGGAATTTCCAAGGTGAGAGGCACAGGAACCCCAGTTCCCTGGCCTGACTCCTGGGGGCGAGGGTCCATTCACCATCCCTTACCTTTTCTGGCTGCAGAATCGTCATCCAAGTCTGCCATGCCTCTGGTGGGACTCTTCATCGGCTTCCTACTGCTCATAGTGGGAGTCACAGGAGGAGCTGTGCTGTGGAGGAGGATGAGGACCGGGCTGCCAGGTGGGGGGCAGGAAGAGGAGGAGCCCCAGAGAGGGGGGCAGAGACCCAGAGACAGAGAGAGGGACAAAGACCCAGAAAGAGAGGCTATAGAGACTCGGGGGAGGAGGGGGGGAAGGCCCAGAAAGGGAGGGGCACTGAGACCTAGAGAGAAGGGGTACGGAGACCCAGAAAGAGAGGATATAGAGACTTGAGGGGGTGGAGGGAAGAAAAAGACTCAGAAAGAGAGGATATAGAGACTTGAGGGGGTGGGGTGAGAAAAAGGCCCAGAAAGGGAGGGACACTGGCCCAGAGAGACCCAGAGAGAAAGAGGGTATAGAGACCCAGAGAGAGAGAACATGGAAGAAGGGTGGACAGAAAGAGGGTCTCACAGAGTCTTAACGACCCCCTATTCCTCTCTTCAGCCCCTTGGATCTCCTTCCGAGGTGACGATGTTGGAGCTCTCATCCCCACGCCTGGCCTGCCGCAGGAGGCTGACTCTCAGGATCCCAATGCACTTCTAGATGCTGCCTGAGCCACCTCCATCCTGGCTGCCACCAACTAATGTCACCAGGGCCCTTTTCATGCTGTGAGACCTCAGAAAGGAATCCTGGCATCTCTGAGCCTCCAGGAGGAGAACGGGCCCAATGTCCACCCTCTGGACCCCTCTGCCAATGGTTTCTCAGTTTCCCCTCCTGATATATAGAGCTGTCTTCCACCTCCACGTATAATATAATTTGGGGCCTGAATTGATTGTGTTCTCATCATTTGCAAACTTAAGGAGGCAGGTGATAGAAGACCTGGACTCCAAATCTCACCTGCAGTTAACTAACATGTCAAGTGGAATCTGACAACTTCCAGAGTATATACCAGCTTGCACATTTTTCATTCATAGCTTCCGCAAATCAAGTGCCTATACTTTGCCAGGTATTTGGAGAAGTTCTTGGTTGAATCTGACCTGAATCCCTCTTGATGGAGCAGAAGAGAATTGCTCCCTCTTTAAGAGAAGGGGGTTGATTTTCTTCTGTTATCAGGGTGTGTGTGTATGAGTGGGGGGCCTTACCTTTCAACAGAGGGTCCTTGTCTTTGTTAACCAACAAGGGTTAGGTTAGAAAGACAGAGTTTCACATGAGCAAGAGATTTAAAGAAAGATATTGAGAGGAAAAGACTTGGTCAGAGGAGATGAGGAGGGCCCTAAGGTAACGCTAACCCTCATCTTTCTGAATAGAGATTTGCTGGGGTTGTAGTAGCATTGTTGTTGTTGTTGTTGTTAAGTGCCATTGAGTCGGGTCCGACCCATAGCGACCCTGTACAGGGTTTCACTATGTAGTAGCATAGTGGTTACAAATCAGGCTGTGAACCGCAAGGTCAGCAGTTCAAAACTACCAGCTGCTCCGCGGGAGAAAAGACTATGCTCCTGTAAAGGTTTACAGCCTTGGAAACCCTGTTCAGGGTTGCTATGGGTCAGAACTGACTCGAAGGCACTTTACAGCAATAGTAGTAGCGCTATAGGATAAGCACTGGACTGCTAACTGAAGGGTCAGTGGTTCAAACCCACCAGCTGCTTCTTGGAAACCCTATACACTGGGTCTCTATGACTCAGAACTGACTTGACAGCAGTTAATAGCAACAACAAAAGATTTTATTTGGGCAGAGGAGTTATGTTTATGCATAGGGGTGGGCAGGAATTTCCAGGAAGTGGCCCATTTAAGAGGGGCCATGGTAATTGGATACTTGCTACTTTTACAGCTTGTTTTCAAGCTGGATTCCATCTCAAAGGCTTCTGGTAAGGGCTTGTTGTTGTTGTTAAGTGCCGTCGAGTCGGTTCCGACCCATAGC